TCCAGAGAAAACAAATGGATAAATAACAATATATATTTGTTATACAATACCATCGGACGTTTTTTTTACATTAATTTGATATTTTTTTTATTTTTTTTATTTTTTATCTACTTTATATTTAATATTAAATTGGATCGATCGTTTTATTTGTTTAGGAATTCTTGTCAAAGTAATTGATTTCTGTACAATTTCCTAATGGCGTAGATTTTGCTTCCCTCGTTTACTCTTATTCGACCACTTTAAAATAATCTAAAATGTTTGTAATTGATTTCAATGCAAGACAAAGTGTATTTTTTAAGAGCGAATTGCTCTTTCTTCTCGATTTTATGTTAAATTATATTTCAGCAGCTAGTTTTATGATCACTGTTCGTCTTCATGAATAATTTTTTAAGTAGGTACCAATAAATTTAAACTGTTAATTAGTCTGTGAAATATTGGTGCATTACTAATAAGGAATTTTTATTGTATCAATTTTTACAATAAAAATTAACTAATTATTTAGTATAAGATTATTTACCACATAAATTAAATATATTTAAAAAACTAACCTAAGTGACAAATATTCGATTATTATCATTAAAGCTAAATACACTTTTCATATATTTTAGCACTATTAACTCTATTTATATATCTTTACTCTATGTATGTAAATACTTGTTTTGAGTTGTGTTTTTTTTCATCGTAAGAATACATTTATAATTGATTTAAGAATGATAAAGATCATTTAGTTTCATGTTTGTAATATATATTTAGAGATTTATTGTTGATTTTCAAGTTTCGATACCTATATCTTAAATTAAATACACGAGTATTTATATATATTAATATTTATTATTATTATATTTTATTATTAATATAAATTATATTAATATTGCAATGTTAATGTTAAATGTAAATGTTGTTAAACATAATATAAATATATAAAAATATACAATACACATTTCTTATTTTAAATTGTACATATTCATAAACTATTTAAAATAATAAAAATATTATTTTTAGTATATTTTACATGCTCAACAAATAGTAAGATAATATCAAACATATCAGCATCATATTATAGGTTAAACTTTTAAAAACCTAAAAATCCGACCTATATTCATCAACTATACAACTATAACTTTACGATTCTAATACAAATTATGATTTTTACTAGTTTAAAAAAATTATTTACATTGTTTTAAATATTATTATTTAAAACATTTATTTATTTATTATGAAATTTATTTAATATTATTCTAGATATTCGTAAAATTAAAAGGGCCGCTAATTTTATTCAAAAATATTCATACATTCATATTTACGAATTTTGAATTCCAAATAAAATGAGAGAGCAATCGATTTATTTTAAAATATGATTTTTTTTGTAAACATTTAAAATTATTTATTTTTCTCTAAAAGCTCTTCATACACACTCACAATAATCGATTTTAAATTACAAGAACACCGTTCTTTGAAGTCGGTTGTACATTGTAATTCGTAATATTTTCCGTAAAACCACAAAAACTATTCAATCCCATATTATTTTTATTCTATAAAAGTTCAAAATATTCGATTTATTTCTTTTTTGAAGCTATTTTAAAAGATGCTTTTTTCACTATTTTTTAAAAAATATTATTAATATGTATTTTAGATATCGTAAAATTTTAAAATACCGTAATTTCATGTTGAATTATTTTATAATATTATAACTGTTTATGTAAATACTCGTATGTTATGTTTGCGAGTGAATGTCATAAAAAAATTATTTCGTTAAAAAATCCATATGTGATCCCAATTTATATTTAGAACACGTTATATTACATTATATATTGATTATTGAATAAATACTGCAACGTGCAATTATATATTCATAATAATAATTTTAAGCGTACATTAATGAGGTATCGCCATTTGCTATTTACAAATTTAATTATACGCCACAACCCTTTATCAAACATACGCCCCGGAGTATATCCAGATGAGTAATCTCTCTGCGCTCGATAATGCACACTTATTAAAGTAACCTGCCGGATAGTTGTATAAATTTATGTTAATTTTTATCCCTCGTTTCATTCAAATATATTTTTGAGTAATCTACATGTATAGAAATCCCAACTGTCCGTTCTGCTATTGACATGCTACGGACTTTGAAAACTCATATTTTAGTTAAATTATGTGTCCCATACTGGCACAGTGTTTTTTTTTTTTAATTCATGCACATTCGTATAACGTTTTCACGTGAGTTTATTACAACCGAGACCCATTTAAAATGGACTGCATAATAATCAGAGTAGAGTAATGGAAAATGCCAACGGCGCGGTAGACTGGCGACAGTAATTGAAGGTTCTGACTTATGATGAATTAATTGTGATCGAGATACGTTTCAAGAGAATAATCTATGAGTAAAATATGTATTTATAGTTATACAATTTTCTTTTATTCCATTTAAAACTAAAGCCATAGATTGTACTATGTATTTAGGTCAAATGTATTTGATTTGTATTGCTATTAATATTTTTATGTTTTTATTTTTAAATTAGTATTATACATCCTATATATATACCTATATTACATAATTTTTAAATATTTGAAAACATTTTAATCATAAATGTTTTTTAAATTTATCACATAGCTAACTATAAACAGCGTAAATATTCGGTATTGTCAACAAAAATCATGTAGAACGAGAATAATTAATAAGTGTTATTACTTTTTAATTTTTTTAAATAACAAACAAGACATTTTTGAAAATAATAAAGCATAATTTATTTATAAAACGATTGTCTGACGTGATGTATTTCAAAAGTACTTGACATGTTTAGAAAAATATTATTTTAGGATATGGTTTTGATACATAACACAGAATTATAGAAAAAAAAAACGTTTTGATATAGAAAAAACACATACTCCATATGTTTTATAATGAAAAAATATCCATGATTAATAATTAGAGAAATATTTGAATATATTTGAATTTGCAAATCACGAAAACTGTTATTTTTAATATGATATGTTTATTATATTTATTTTTTTCTATATTATACCTACTAGTTTTTAAAGTATTTGGTTGAATTTATAGTCAATCGACCGGAAATTAAATAAAGGGTATTTTGGATAGTATGTGAAAATTGCAAAATTCTCACTACCTTGCGATAAAATAAAAAAAAAAACCACACAATTTATGGTTATATCACACTAAAGTACACTAAACTCTGTTCAGAATTGTTTTTAGAATTCGATGATTAATCGTTTTCAGATTTAAAAAGACAACACACCAACCAAGTGACCTATCCTAAATGCAATTTCCACGCGACTGGATCGAGATAAGCAAGACAAGTACCCAGCAGTGAAATTAATGTTCCGAAATCTCTTCTTTTTTTTTATTCAACTTTTAAGTTTAACTTAAAACAAACAGTATTTTTAATCCAATAAATAGATATAATTACGGATTATATAACAAAAAGCTCATTATGTTTTTTTTTCGTAGTTTTAAATGACTAGTCCTTTTTTTCCTAAAATATTTACTTTAATAACATTAACAGACAATTGAAATTTGATATTCCTTAAATATATGTATAGATTATTAAAACCTTTATATTTAAATCGAAGAAATGCACTTCTATTTTAGTTAAAGGTAATGAAATTCTATACTAATTCGTGTAAGAAGCATACTAATAAGAACATATTCATTGACATTAATTTATTTAAATTTTTAAATATTAATTTCCTGCTTATTATTGCAATTTATCTAGACCATATTGAAATGTACGAGTTGGTGAAATGTACAAATTGTATGTACGATAATGTATCACGTCCGTTTTATCAACGTCTGTTATTAAAATTGTATAATGTATACTGTATAATATTAATATAAATTATTAGATGTCCACAAATAAAAATGACCCTTCATTTTATACTTCAATTTACTATAATTATACTTTATTTTGTGTCCACTTAGTGATATAATATACGTTTCATGTTTTGGTAATAATAACAAATAATTAAATTAGTGTGTGGTTTTATAGCTGTCGACGAGATATTTTATTTTTTATAAAATACAATGGCATTGGAAAATGTATTAAAAACACATTGGTTTTCACTGAAGTTTTAGAATTAATTTATAAAAAAATTTATATAATGGAATCAACTTAGAAAATGTAGAATAAATAGTAACATCGAGCTAATCGTCCGAAAGAAAAAATAATAACCAGAAACTCAATTTCATTTTTATTCCTGTATAATTTTTTATCACATAGTTTATCTGCATTATCTTTATAAGTATTAAAACTGGCGATTTCTGTTTTTTTCTAAACTTGAATTTTTATAAAGCTGTTTAGTTTTTGAATACAAATCTGTTAATTATATAATAATTCCTCTGCGAATAAAACTTAACATTTTTGACGAGTTGCCAAATAGTTTCAGAGTATTAAGTCAGGTTTAAAAAATAAACATTATCGTTAAGTCTGTCAATGTTTAAAAGCACTGACAATAATAATTTATGTTTGTACTAACATATTTTTAACAAGCAACTAAAACTTGTACATAATCGACATTGAGCTTTTCCCCTCTCGTACAGGTACGGAAAAAACTTTTTACTCAAAATGGATTTATAATACATATATGTATATAACTATACATCTGTGTGTGTGTGTGTGTGTGTTTAATAAATATATATAAACAATTTTTTTACTATATTTCTCTTATACAACAATCCATCGACATAAATTTGAATGCGAACCGTCAAGTTAATCTGTGATTTATTCCCTCGCCCGTGAGTGTACGCGTATATACCCTGGGGAATATGTACTCTACATTAATCCTCTACTCTCCCCCACCCCACAACATGACGCAGACTCTGAAATTGAACTTCACCCCCTTCAGTATTGTTGTTATTTTTTTTATTTTACACTAAGCCGTTCACCCTCCTCTCGTAACGATCGTTGTCGCCATATGGGGCCCGAGCACGTTCTTCGGGACTCATGTTTAACACGTTTTCAAAAAACCATTATTTTCCCCAGGATCTCTAATTAAATGGTCGGCGGATGAACAGGTGCATTTGGTGTGGTTCCGGATAGCTCGACAGCATGCACATTGGATCGCAGAATTGGCCAAAGTAAGAAATTCGTAATTCTTAAGTATACGTACTAAAACCTATAAAAAACAGACCATAATAATAGTTAGGTACAACTTTCAAATTAATTATACTTAATATACTCTAATTATAGACTATGTCCCACGTATCGATTTATAGTATGTCAACCATTTACAACTTATAAGTATTGTTTATTACACATTTTATACATTTACAATTCAGTATTTATAATATATAACCCTGATTATATATTATATAACATATATATAATATTTATTTTTAATTATATAAATACCCAAAAAAACATTCAATAAATTTAATAATGCCAGTTCATTTAATATAAATTTTGACTAATAACACGATTTTGTTTACTGATGATTACTGTTACCATCTTACACAAATATTTTTTTTAATTATTTTTAGAATGCCATATAATTAAATACTGATATGGTATCTATTAAGACTATTTTAATAATTTATAATCGTTTAGCCATGAAATACTTTCATAAAAGACTAGACCTGAAAACTTTTGAGAAAGCCCTATGTATAGAATCAAAATTTACTTTAATGGTTAACTTTAAGTTGAGGATAAAATTACTTTTACAACTTTTGGCTCTACATACAAAGTTAACCATTCTCATCATTGATTACCTATTAAGTAATAAATATTTGATCAATATTATTAAACTCATTTAAGTGATAAAATAATATCACGATAATAATATTTTTAGTACTTTATATTAATTTTATATTCTATTACGACTTATATTTAATAAAAATATATTTTGGTACGCGTATTTTTCTCAGAAGTTTCATTAGAAACTGAATATGAATTATTATATTTCATAATTAAATATCAACCCAATTAAATTTTAATTTTAAACATCTTAACAAAGGCACATGAAGAGATTCAGATAAGCCAATGCTTGTATTAATTTTAATTCATAACCGAACTAAAGTGTAACTATAAAAAACACGTAACTGAATGTTTGTGAAAATAATAATAACTGCAATTCTATACATGTAATTTTATATTGAAAAGTTAATACATTTATAACTTGTTGGGCTTTGTGTTTTGACATATTTCTAAGTCCTACATAACATATTACATTTCGGTCGGCTTTTAGGATTTCCAACAACCACGTGTGTTTAATAAAATAAATTGTGTTTGGTTCTAGAACAATTTCCTGTTTCACAGAACATCACCGGACGGTAACGAACTGTGGATGTACAAACGTCTAAGGGGCGAAAACACAACAGTAGATTCCCCTCATACTTACACGGGTGCAGGAGGTCTAGTGATACGCGACGATCATTTGTTAGTCGTCAAAGAGCATAACATTCCATTTTGGAAATTGCCCGGAGGTTATGTAAATCCTGGTAAACAGTTCGTATTTTTATATGGTTTTTTTTTCTGCCTTTTGTTTGGTACGTTTACATATTTATGAGGTAATCTGTGTAATTAAAAAAAAAAAACAAATGTTAATTATCTGACACAAAAAAAATAGTGGGTGAATGTATAAATAAAAATAAAATGAAACTAATTTTTTTATTACAAAAAGGTAATATTTCTTTCAATATGGAATTGAAATAACGATCATGTTTCCATGTTTGAAAATTTTTTTTATCAAATGTGTAAATCTATTCGACTCATTACATTTAAAAATTAATGAATTATAATAATAATCTCTGAACCCTATTTTTAATAACATCAAAGTTAAGTACAACTTTGTCTATAAGTATATAATGTATTAATGTACTTAGATGCTATGGTTTTTCGTGCACAGTTATCTATCATTAATAATTTTCCTATTATTATTTTTGTTACTATCGATCGACTATATCATATTTTTTTATAAACTTAAACTCTATAAGAGAATCTATCAGTGATCTATAATTTTTACATGCTTGTTAATTCGTAGAATAATGAAAATAATCTATATTTCTATTTTCGGTCGATTAACGTTAAAGTAACACGCAAACATGCATTCGGTAACATTATCACGAATGATTATTGTCTTCGTTATGCAACACGCGTTAAAATTCTATGTTATACGCATACCTTATTAGAGTTTATAAAATATAATATTTAATAAACATAAACTATTTGATAAATAAACATAGTATGTTACATTATATGTATATAATAATTATATATGTTATGTATATTTAATAATTTAATTATTATATTTTTGTAAAGTATATCACAAGTAAGATAATTTAATTTAAATTTATGTATTTAATATTATCACAAAACGACATTTTTTCAAGGAGAAAATATTGGTGACGCTGCTATTAGAGAAGTATTTGAAGAGACAGGCATCAGAGCTGAATTCGTGTCTTTAGTTGCTTTTAGGCACGTTTTGAATGGGAGTTTCGATTGTGACGATATGTATTTCGTCACAAACTTGCGACCGTTAACATTCGACATTGTGATTGATAAAGAGATATTAGACGCTAAATGGATGAAGGTAATTTAGAATTGTTTTACCTTCAACGGGGTTGCTTTAAAAAAATGATGTCATTAAGCTGTTTCTCCCTCGCAGATTTATGACACTTTTTAATAACCCTCTTGGTCCCTTCCTACAATTGAATTACCTAATCTCACTGATGCTAATCTATCAAATTAACACTTTCCATTGGCTCGAAATCTCTAACTTTAGATTGCTTTAATGGAGATTATCCCTTAATGTTGAATACCTATATAAAAAAAAAAAAAAAAAGAATTATTCCAAATGTCAATATTTCAAGAGGTGTACGAAGTTTTTTAAGGGTACGTAATTACTCTATATGTATGCTCCGGTAAAATTTTAATGAACGTAAAACTTTATTCAACTGAAAATGAAATACTATAACGCAATTCTTCAAAATTCAAATAGATATCCAATTGAAATATATTTAATCGTCTGTAAAACACAGATAAGTATTTTCAATTACTAAAACTCTTAACAACCAATTTTTAATTGAATAAATAAATAATTTTTTTATAGTCATTTATGCCATTATGCAATAATATATTATATGATACAAAATCAAAGTATTATTTAAGTATTAACCTTATCATAAAATACTAAAAATGTTATTGTTCTTTGGAAAATACCCAAATTCTTAGTTAATTAAAGTTTATATTTCATTCTTAGAAATAAAACGGATACCATGTTATAACTAATCTATTGCATTCCATTAAAGTACTTTTAATGAAACGCTATATATATGTTTATATAAAGGCCAAAGGTAGTCGTCCATGATTTGCAATTCAAATATACTCGTATCATCTATTCTACTATAGATTTATCAGTACATGTAAAGTTTTTTAGTAATTCGACTTAGTATTTATTAAAATATGGGAGTAAATTATTTATTATTAATCTTATTGGAATTACCATTGATATATTAGGCAGAAGGAGTTTTGGGATTGAACTTTTATAAAAAAAAAATAATGAATAATTTTGTGCATTGAAATATAAGTATTTTAGTACGAACTTTAATTTAAATTACATTATTTGTTCAGATAATATTATTCGTGGTTGGAATTATTTATTCTTTTAGCAATATTATAAATACTCGTTATCCCGACTGTTAATATGTTATTGAAATTGTATTACAAAAACATAATGAATCATTGCTGATTATAATTTTAGAATTTAAATAATTAAAATTAATCGCTATTTAAAAACTAAATTAATATCAATAAATATAGGTACAATTGATCTACAGACAAGAAATTCAATACAATAGATTACTTATTCTAGTCGTATTTTGCAAACTACGGTAGATATCATGTAGTATTATTATTATTTCGTTTTTTTTTTTTTTTGTTTTTTAGTTAGAAGATTTCATAACAAGTCCAGATGTTGGCGAACATAGTCGTTTTTTTGTTAAAAAGTTTTTAGACAATGCAAAAATGGGTATCTTGTTGAAACAAAGTAAAATGATTCATCAACTGACCAAAAAAGAATTTATCAATTACATACCATGCGCAATAAATTCTACTACGGATATTTAAGTACATTTATGAAAACATATTTACAACTATCCATAGATATTTTTTTGCACTTTTGTATGTAAACCTATTATTAAGCTAGTCCTGTTCTGAAAATAATATACGAAACATATCGTGTATCATGTGGGTATTTCATATTGTTCGATGTATAGCTGTACTATTTTGTTTTTTGGTGTAAATAAAATATTTCATTGACAATAAAAATGGTTAATTGTAATTTAAATTGTTAACACAAATTACAATAAAAAGTAATTCAAATTTCATTATGCTTTTGTTTTTTTTTTTACCATTATTATTATTATTATTATTGATTATGAAATAATAATTATACCAACCTTATTTGTCAGTGTCTATTTTGTTTTCAATTTGCAAACAAATCGCCTTTGTAATACACGTAGGTTATAATAAATATCCAATTACTTTTGCTTTTATATGGTTTTCACACTGAGCAACACAGTTCACGAGACATGCTGCAAATTCAAAAACACGCATGTTACAACGTGTTATCAGATCGTATGACCATTTGAATACTATACGATTATCAAAGAACAAGTCAACGGATTTATAATCAAATAATGGTTACACTCACAAGGTAGGTTATATTATCTCAAATGTATTACTATTATATTTTAAATAAATAATTTACGTCCTAATTTACGAACAAATATATTTATTCAACATTGTTTTATTTAATAATATTGCAAAGTGATTTGTGACAAAGCAATTGTGTTTCTATTGGTTTTCAATATTATTCAATTAATTCGCTAACTGTATTTACAATATAGAAATGAAATTTTATGATATTTACGAATGATTACTATCGAACTTTAAATAATTTTTGATAACATTGAATAATATAAAAAAAATGTACACAGTTGTCATATATTTATGATTTTATGTTTAAAGAAAATGATAAATGAATAATTAACGAAATTAAATTATAGACGAGCAATATAATATTAAACTATTTGTGTGATAACATCTGACCTAGCAGAAGACCTACCAAAAAACATTATCCATACATTTTATAGTTTATTATATAATTATAGAAATCATAAGTTATTGATGCAGTAAAAAATAACTATATTAATCATGATTTATAAAAATTTTCAACAACTGTACCATGTGCAAGCTTAAATTTCACTGTTAGGTAGACGCATTATATATTATACCGATTACATGATAAAATGAAAAAATGTTTAAATGATTCAATCTTAAGTTAGACATCACATTTAAACACGTAATGATTTTATCATACTTAAAATAGATTGTCTTATATTTTGTTTTGAAATATGTTTTCTTATTCCATTTATGATCTATAATTCTCACTCTCGTTAATTTTTAATGTTGCTTTCGCCTGACAGTAGTTTATTAAATCTAAAGCTGTAATAGGTGGAAATAAAACAATACGTTTATACTAGCCCAACAAATCGTAAATTAGAAAAAAATAAATTGCTTTGCACACACCGTATATTTATGAAAAATCAGTTGCTTAATGAAATTGTTTACCTATATAGTTTTTTGCATTTTCAGTACATTTCCCAAACAGCATTTACATTTAATTTATCTTTACCCCACCATCTACTATTGTTTTTGTTCGAACGAGAACTCTTTATCATTTTAGGTTTTACATAAAATATAATTTCGCTGATTTCGCTAATGTTTCCGTTCAAAAATCCTTTAATATTCCTAATGTACGAACATTTCATTATGCCGTTTATGGCTGCAGTTGAATGCAGCACACAGATATACTACTATGGATAATATATGATGTATATATACATATTTACGTATACACATATGGACACATATGTATGTATATTTATATTACCCGTTCGATAATAATATATATTCCACTGTAGCTATTAGTACATCTATGATTTGTTGTTGAAAATTATACAGTTAAATTGCACAATGTGTTATTATTTATGACACATTCAATGGTCTAGGCTTCTATTTAATTAAAAAATATATTTCAACAATTATTTTAATTTATTTTCCCTTGACGACTGCACGTTTAATGTATTATTTACATTAAGCGCACGTAAGTCTGTTCCTTTACTAAATATCCGAATAGTACAGCGACAACGTTGTGTTGATGCAAACCAACTAGACTTACGTTCTCATAATATACATAAAATAAATAATAAAAATACATTTTATAAAATCTTAGTTGTACACCTTGAAATATCGCAGTATCTCAATCCGTGCCAATTGTTTGAAATGCAATACAATATAATACACGCGCGCTTAATACTGTTGAGATTTCGCCGCAAACAATGGTCTTGATGCGTCACAATCGCTTCACTATTCGAAAATAATAATAATAATAATAATGTGGTAGGTATGGTGTTCACTATTCGCCCATTAATGCATTTGAAGAGTACATCATGTATATAATAATCATTATTATTTTACAAAAACATTAACGGTAAATAAACGTGGTGCATTATCTTAAAGAGGTTCTTCCTGCGCGAATATCTATCTATATCCTTATGAGACTATCATGCTTTTCCGTTCGGTATTGATTTATATATTTTAATATGATAATATAGTTTTCATTTTATCGCCATATAATAAACGGACGTGCAGAAGGTTTATGGATTTTAATAAACATTTATTACCAATGTATATACTATAAAATACACTGTTACAGCATAACATATATATTATATGTAGGTATTTTCACGATATCGTCCAAGTGAATTGATAAACCTCGTAAAATGTCCGTTTAGATAAATTAAACGACACTATGCTTTCTACAAAATACGTCCCTTTTCCCACAGTCGGGGCCAGTATTTATTAGTGTATTTTTTTTTTCGTATAAATTGTTTAGCCGCGCTTTTACTAAATTCTACAAGATATATGTAAGAATGCGTATTTCATTCGTATAATTTTTGTTTGGGAAATGCGTGGTTATACGGTATACGTGATTTGAACATTTATTATGTATTTTACACCTCGTCGTATCGAAAAACTATTATTTTTATCATATATTTTCATTGACCTTCTGAGAAAACAACGAAACCCTATATGACTGTACATGCAACTATGTAAGCTAGATTGTATTGTTAAACTTGAAACACTAGACACCACTCTTAAACCAATTTAAAAACAACTATTTTCATCGTAACAAATTATATTATATAGAATTTTTTCCATAAAAATTGAATTTAACCCATTATTATAAATGTATAATCTCAATATATTTTATAATATATTTTCATTATAAAGTACCTATAGAACTTTAAAGTATATTATTTCGATAATAAACAAAAAAAACTACGTAGGTGAATATAACAATGATTCGTGTAGAAGTTACCTTTATAAAATGGTTAGTCGATTAGTACAAGTGACAACGATTAAAATAATTAATATAAATACAAATATACTATTTGAGTAGGTACCTATGTAAAATTGTACGAGTATGTATACAATGAATTAATTATACACGTAACAAATATTTAATGTATTCATATATGTATAACGTATCCTGATAAGAACACTTTACAATTATATATCATTTCAAAATTTTTTCCATACTTATTCATATTTCATTATTTATGAATATATATAATATATTAAGAAAAAAATATTTTTTATACCTTTTATTATATTTAAACATGATATAATATTTCATATTGGATTAGTAAATGTAAAATATTTAAGATACATAAATACATAAATTCGTTCGTGGATCATGTAAATTCAATCTTTAAATAGTTTTTTAAATAGCTTCAATAATACATTTTTAATTTAATTCATATACACTAATAATAATATTTAAAATAAATTATTTAATAAATTAGTCATAAACAAATCAAAAAATTATGACGTCATACATCATATTTACTTTATTAAAATATCCACGCATAATATGGTTAGTATCTTGTTTACATATTAGTTATGTGTTTACACATAGTTATGTGTATTATATACAATTTTCTATTATCAGTTTAAAAATAGTTATGTTCAAAGAGTAATTTAAGGTTCTTCTAAAAAATAATAACTGATGCTATCGGATATATCTAATATATGAAACCTAGAATATTATGTAACATTATACCAAATAATGGATACATAAAAACGGTGTTTATTTCAGGCACTTCTCCGGGGGACTGAGCTTTCTCGGAAAATATCCAAAACCCGTCAGGAGAAAAATTTGAAGAATACTAAAGAAATATTATATATATTAGAAAATATAATTTTAATGTCACGGTATACCAAACTTTATTTACAATATCATTTTTCCCGGTGAAAATCAGTAATCAGCAATCGGATAGATTAAATATTAAATAATATTGGTCAATAAGCAAAACGGTAGATTTT